TTGCTGCTGCTGCTGCTGCTGCTAGTTGTTGCGGGGGTGGGGGATGCTGCTGCTGCTGCTGTTTTTGCTGCGTTTGTTGCTGCTGATTTGCTGCTACCGTTGTGTTTTTACTCCTGCTGCTGTTTCTGCTTCTTTCTTTTCCCCTTCTGCTGCTGCTGCTGCTGCTGCTGCTGCTGCATTTGCTGCATTTGCTGCATTTATTGCATTTGCTGCTGCTGTTGCTGCTGCTGCTGCTGCAGGCTATCTTACCATCAGCAACATTTATGTGATTATAGCCCTTGCTGCTTCGCTAGCTTCGGGTGTCCCTTCCTGCTGCAGCGAGGAGACAGGAGAACAATAAAGAAAATATTATATATAAATAAACAAATAAATAAAAAAAAAAGAATATATTTATTTATTAAGGAAAAAAGAGACAATTTATTCCTTCCTGCTGCTGCTGCTGCTGTTGCGCATGCAACAAAGGTAGCAACACAGGCAATTGCTGATACTCGTGATGGTTATGGTTGGGGGGAGGATTCTGCTGCTGCTGCTGCTGCTGCTGCTGCTGAAGCAGCAGCAGCAGCAGATGTTGGTGCAGCAGCAGCAGAAGTTGCTGCAGCACAAGGTGCAGCAGAGGAAGCAGAAGCAGCAACAGCAGCAACAGAACGTTTGCTGCTAGATCTACAAGATCTACAGAAGGAGCACAGACGTTTGCTGCGGCATCTACGAAGAGATTTGCTGCTGCTGCAGCAGCAGCAGCAGCAGCACGAGCGTGCATGCAAAAGGAGACTCGTTAAATGTGCATGCTGTCTTAAATATATTACATTAGAGCATGCACAGACACTACAGGACTGGACTATTGTACAGCAGCAGCAGCAGCAGCAGCAGGAACAAGAACAGCAGCAGCAGCAGCAGCAGCAGCAGCAGAACCAACAGCCTGAGGAGGGAGGAGACGCTGCAGCAGACGGCAGGGGGAGCAGTTCTCCCGCGCATGCAACAGCAGCAGCAGCACCAACAGCAGCAACAGCAACAGCAGCAGCAACAGCAGCAGCAGCAGCAACAGCAGCAGCAGCAAGAGATAGCGCCTCTGGAGGAGGAGCAGCAGCAGCAGGTGTACCAGCATCATCACCAGCAGCAGCAGCAGCAATAACATCAGCAGCAGCACCAGCAGCAGCAACAACAGCAACAGTAACATCACCAGCAGCAGCAGCAGCAGCAGCAGCAGCAGCAGCAGCAGAGAATATAGCTGCACGCAGCATGCGCTACTTTCCTCTTGTTGACCCCTCGGGGGTTTTCTTTTTATTTAATAAAAATAATTTTAGGGTTTGTCTTCCTGAGGAATTACAGCAAACCCTACTAGACCCTTTTTCTCCTGCTCTCTCTTATATTGGTAAACCCTAAACCCTAAACCCTAAACAATTAACACTATTGTCTGTAGCCGATTACCACGAGGAAGACGATATACGGGACACCCGAGGGTTTATTAAGGTTTGGAGTCTAGGGTCTAGGGTTTAGGGTTTAGGGTTTAGGGTTTAGGGTTTAGGGTTTAGGGTTTGTGGGTGCAGAACAAACGGAGGAAGAGTTGGAGAGAAGAGTTGATTTGGAGGGTTTTCATCCGCGAATATTTTCTTGTGATGGTGAGGAAGAGGGTTTAGGGTTTAGGGTTTAGGGTTTAGGGTTTAGCTCAACAGTACAATTATAGCTAAGAGGAAGCAAGAGAGAGCAGTGCCACTGCGTCCTTATATTAGGGTTTATGTTTTGTGGTTTACTAGGGTTTTAGGGTTTCCTAGGGTTTAGTGTCTCCTAGGGTTTAGGGTTTCCTAGGGTTTAGGGTTTAGGGTTTAGGGTTTGGGGTTTTGCAGCTTCTGGTCGTGTACCTATTTGCTCAAAAAGATGTCCTGTCTTAGAACCCCAAAGATTAAGAACAGAATTACATGATGCCCTCCTCCTCCTTGGTCCGTCTAAACCCTAAACCCTAAACCCTAAACCCTAATTTGTAGATCCCTTATAAATATTCTATAAGGGTTTATATAAACCCTAAACCTTAGTGTATATATTATTTATTTGCCTTTTTCTTCTTCTATACCCTCCACAATATATTTATTCTTTTCTATTGTTCCCACCTAGGGTTTAGGGTTTAGGGTTTAGGGTTTAGGGTTTAGGGTTTAGGGTGTATATATACAGGAGCAACATGGTCATTAGGTCTTCCTTTATCATTTTTATTGGGTTTAATTATTGGTAGATCTACAAAGACATTTAGTAAACAAATTGAATTTATTTTTCCTTCTCTTGCTTCTTTTATTGGAGGTAAATATACAAATATAAATAAATTAATAAATAAATTAATAAATAAATAAATAAAATAAATAAATAGTATAAATATATAAATAAATAAATTAAATAAGTTAAATAAATTAAATAAATTAATTAAATAAATAAATATATAAAATAAATAAAAAAGATATGCATAGATACCTGAATAAAGAGCTGCCTATACACCTGAATAAATAATATATATATT